TGCCTTCGCATCTCTCGCAGCACCTCTCGCACGCCATTGCTAGCATGGCCAGCATGCGTGCTGCTAGCGAGCCACACATGCTGGCCCCCTCTGCCTTGCACCATGCGCATCAGCCTCGCAGCACATGCATTAGCCACGCACAATGCGCACTAGTCACGCACAACACGCATTGCACCTTGCACCACGCACCAGCCTCGCGCTATTGCTAGCCCAGCCAGCGAGCCTACGCACGCAAGGACTAGCATGCGTGCTGGGCGATGCTGCCAGGCATCCTTGCACTACCATGCATCAGCCAGTGCCTAGCACTGCTATGCTTGGTGCGAGGTACGCACACACGCACATGCACATGCGCCAGTGCCTAGCACTGCGACGGCTTTGCTTGGTGCGTGTGTGGCCCTGCTGTGTTGCGATGGTGCCTAGGTATCATGCTAGGGCTGCGACAGCGCCTAGGCATGATGCTAGGGTTGCGATGGTCAGCGATAGTGTGCCTAGGCTGCGATGATGCGCCTAGGCTGCGATGGTGCGCCTAGCACACCTAGTGTGCTTAGGCTTGCGCCTAGCCATGCTAGGTATATGCTAGCTCGAACTAGCCTAGCATCCACATGGCTAGGCTAGTGTGGTGCTAGGGATATTTTTATACTTGTCGCTTTGTGATTTTGCGACGCTCGGTCTCGACGCCCTAGGGTCGATATCCGACGTCTGTATTCGTAAAACTCTGTCGACTCATTAAATCCTTTTGGATTAATTCGTCGTCTCGGATTGGTGATTCGATTGGGTTCCACCCGAAGGGTTCAGTGAAGATTAAACTGTAATATCAATTGTACCTTGATATTACTGATCGGAAGCGGCCTCCACCTAGGCATTCTGATCACTTGATCTTATTGATGAATTAACTCTGTAATAATTCTGAACCCTCTATCGGAAAAATACACTTGTTGGAAGGACACCATTCCTTTCAGCATGCTGCTAGGCTTGTACTCTGTAATAAGGTCAGACGAGCTCCTGGTATCAATAAGGATCCGGCCCACTCGTTAGTTGGCAACCTTGCATTCGATGCCTATGGGGTCATCATGAGACCGCCTGACCTTGCCCCGATCCTTCTCCACTGGGCGAAAATATGTAATCCCCACCGGTTCTGGGGGAGAACTGGTACCAAAAACTAATCTTTTCGCACCGGTTTTGTCATAGAACCGGTGCCAAAAGTCTTTAAAAATATTTTAAAAAAACTTTTAGCACCGGTTCTTTTCCAAAACCAGTGCCAAAAGTATCCCAATTTTTTTTTTTTATTTTGCATTTTTTTCACTTAAATTGTACCAATTACTTATATATAATCATAATATACATAAAACACATATATTTTCTTCAATATTTGTGTCATGCATCTGATGGAGCTTTATCATCATCACATGAAAAATCAAGCTCAGAAATGCATATTGAAGCAATGAGGGCAGCATATACCACAAAGTCAATAAAAATAGAGCACCTTCCTAACCATCAATAAAGAGCATTACATCTTTGATAAATAGAATAAAATCTAAGACAAAAAAAAAAACTGCAGACTCGCCGCCTATATGGGCCAAAAGTAGCCTTGCCGCCTGCCCGTTTTATTAGAGTTCTAAATATAGACTAGCATGACCCAAAGATTATAAAATTTCCACATGATAACATCACTTAACATGCTTGCTAAAATAAATTTTCGAATTTTCTTAATTAAGGCAACGTAATTCCTAAAATATCTCATTATTTAAATTCGTAATTAGATAATATCATATATTATTCATGACCATCCATAAACATCATATATTTTAAATTTGGTATGAGATAGAATCAAATCTTATTTTAATCTGGAAAGATATATCATATTTGTTTTCCATGATTATCCTTACTAATTTAGGACATTATATCCTAATTACTAGCCAATCAAATAATTTTAAAATCAATTATTTCAATTCCTAAAATAACTATGGGATAATCACATTATTAAATCAATTAGTATCCATTTTATTGGAATATTGCTCAAAATATCCTAACAAAATCTATCCAAAATTAACAACTTATTTGTGGATAATTATCAAAATTAACAACTTTTGAAATTTGATTTTATCCCAAAATAAAATCTGATTTTTATTTTTGAAAATAATTAAAATAAAATAATTTTTTTAAAAAAAAATTACCGGTGTTGTCACCTGCCACCTTCGTTGGCCAGCCGAAGCTAGCCACGTTGGCTGGGCGTCGTGGGAGCACCCACCGCCTTGCGGCAGTGGCTCACAACAGCAATAGTAGCCACGGCAGCAGCGTGCAATGCTTGCACAGCTGCTGCCCAGCCCTCGGACCACCCGCAGGCCCGCCTCCCCACCCTCTCTCTCGAACTCCACGCCGGTGGCTGCCGGCCATTTTAAAACCTTTTTTTTTTTGTTGTGTTTTAAATTTAATTAAAACAACTTTTGTTAAAATTAAATTAAATTAGTCCGAGAATTAAAATTAAATTCCAATTCAATTTTAAAATTAGGGTTCATGATAAAAATAATTCTAATATAATTCTAACATTTAAATTTAAGTTGTTGATCATACACAAAATATTTTTATGCATAATTCAACCTAATGCATAATTCAACCTAATTAAAATTATGAAGCATGAATCAAATCTAATTTTAATTAAAACACAAGCGCAAGATCATAATTTAGGCTAGGGTTTTCGAAAAATTTGAAAATTACTGTTAAGGCCGGGTTCGAAAATGTTTGAACAATTTCGGGCAAAAATTTGGTCCATACTAGAGTAAATAGAGTAAAATTAAATCATATTTAATCTATTCCAAAAGTTAAATCACATTTAAAATAATAATTGACCCATAATTACATTAATTCTCCCTCTTAATTGATTATAAAATTATGAACATGGACCTCAAAATAATCGTATTATTATGATCAAATGTGTTCATGCAAGAGGCTAAATGATACCATTATAGGGATTTAGGTACTCTAAGAGGAATTTCATGAATCTCATTCATACGCACCTAAAACAAGATCACATGCATAATTCACAAGAATCGCATAATTATACCTTTGAAGCGTGATTTCCACGTTACGATTGACTGTCAATTAGGGAGAGTATAGAGTCACAAGCGTTGCTCCTCTACTTAGTCCACGGAATTCGACTAGCCGTCCACCAATGCTATATTGGTCAAATGGAGAGGAAAACACCGCGATTATCACCTTTGCGGACAACCGACCGTCACGAACCACCACCACCACTGTGCATACCATTGGCGCAAGGAGGAAAGAGAGTTACATAAGAGATAGAGTTTGAGAGGGGTTGGTTTTGTGTTTTCTAACTTGGGGTTAATTAACAGTAAACTACATATTTCTAAACCCTAGGCACCTAGTCTATTTATAATCATAATATAATTAGACTATGTTAGAAAGCCCGAAACCCTCCAATACTGTCCACACACGGCCACCTAGAGGGAGAAGGCCTATCATGGCCCTCTACCTCTTATGATCAATCTAGCCCCTTTGTATAACCTTATAAGATCCGTTCAATTAGGCTTTAGCCTATTTTACAAGTCCAAAGATCATTAGTACCTCTAGCTATGATAAAACGATGACCTAAATAAACGAACTTAATTATCTCCATAATTTGATCCATTTATATATCTAGTAATTGCAATTGACAAAGACATAAAACCTTCACTATTTACCAAATTTGGTAAGCAGTCGTGATTTAAGGTGGAGTCTATATGCTGCATCGGGAGTTCGGGATTGATCACCTAGTTTAGGGTTTCTTTTGAAGTTTCATAATGAGTTTGTTCTCACCAACTTTGGTCAAGTGTTGAATAATATAAAGTTGGTTTTGGTTTTTTCTGCAAAGTTAGTTAGTTTGAGTTAGCCTTACGTTTTCACGTGGCGGTGATACGCCCAAGTCTATCTCAACTTTACGGTAGTTTATACGTATTATTCTAGTATTTATGTAGAGGGAGATTTGAGGGTGTTATAGGAGGATGCTAATGAATGAAAGTAGAGGACCTTAGGGAAGTGAAGAGGGTAAAGGGAATGATCAAATTCTCTTAACATACGTCAAGAAAAGAAAAGAGGTCAAAGAACCCTTTTGATTTCCTTACCTTCTCTTAAAGACCTTTAAAACTAATGCACGCTTAATAATGTTGTTTGTGTCTCCATTTTATTAAATCGGATTTGGGCTATGTTATATCAATAGATACATTTTATAAGAGCTATCTGAAAATATAAGTTTAATTAATTAAATAAAAATTTGTGAATAAGGTAAGCTCGATTTTTTTAGGGGCTAATAAAGGTAATAACAATTGGGTTAACAAAGGACATTGAGCTAAGGATTATGTATGGATTATGGATTATGGATAATGGTAGGGGAATTAGGTTTAATGGAGCTATCAGGGTTTGAAATGGGCTTTCAAATGAATTTGAATTTGGAATTGGTTTGAAAGGTTTCATTAACGTTTTTTCGATCTACTTTCAGTTCAAACCAAATCAGATGAGTTGTACGTATTCAATTATCGGGTGTTCTTGGAAAGACATGTTTTGGTGTCTGCACAAATGACTTGCTTTAACCCTCTATTGACCCTTATAATCTCAAAATTGTCTATAGGGCTTAATTAATACTATTTTGGCAAAAGAGAATATGAAGAAAAAAATAAGAGAGAAGAAAAATGGAGGGTAATATAAGTTCCACATTTTCTAACAAGAGGTATTGGGAAAGAGGTAGAAGAAGAGAAAGATCAATTTTCCCTCCTTTTATAAACATAGATATCCATTTTTGTGGCATAAAAAAAAAAAATTATCCATTTACAACTAGAGAAATATGGAAAGATTTAAATAAAGCTTCACTGTCCTTGCCTTCCCCCCCCCCCCTCCCCCTCCTTCCTTTCATCTGTATTATCTTTCAATCTAAATAAAATGTAAAGCACAATTTCAAATATTAATTATGCGTATTAGATATAAAATATATATATAAAAGAAATTTCAAGTCTTTCAACATAACAGCTGATTTATAAAACATGTATCAATGAAAACATAAAAAGATTATCATACAAAATAGAATTTAGAATACCTAACTTTCCACACTTTTCAAGGAACTCTACACCCTTTTGTTAGTGTAAAGTAGACAACTCTCATGAAGATTTGATGAGCTTCCTGATTTTAAGCATTTTTATGGAGTTTTGAAATGGCAAGAGTCACCAGCAAAAGAAATGATATTGCCCCTAAAAGAGAGAGGGCAAGAGAAGCCATAACTTGGTGGCAAAATTTTCCATACACATTGCAAACTTTGTTCCATCGTAAATGAGAGTTGCCATTATAACCTAAGAGGCCGACAGCACCTGCTGCTCCAATGCTCGAAAACAACAAGGCTACCAAGATCAAATCTACAATAATTATAATCAAACGCATAAATCCTCTTCCTCCTTTCATACTTATGAATGTAAGACCTATTGATATCGCCGCAAGTGCACATGCTATAGAATTAGCCACGACTGAGTACCTATTGCAATGTTTATTTGAACAATTAGATTAGACGTTTAGTTGAAACATTTAACTTTTGAGGTCATAATAAAAGCTGACACAAAATTATATTTACTACCATCTGAACAAAAACAATTCAATTTTGTTTAAGGGAATATATACAGTTTTATTTCAAGGGAATAAGTTATATCATTTTCTATGTTAAGCTTATTAACTTGACTTTGAATGTTCACATATTATAAGTAATATACAACATTAAAAAGAATTTCATCTACTCCATGAATAGTTTAGATTATTTTAAATATCATTCCAACAAGAAATATAATAGTTGCGAGCAATTCAATGGTAGGGTAGCATATCATTGATTTATTAGCTAGCTCACCACCAATACTACCATTGCTTACCCTTAGCCCTACTCCCCAAGATATGCTTCCACCTTGATTTATTCCCAAATTATCCCCTAGAAGACGATGGTTACACTAGCTAGACCCACCAGTCTTTAGTAGGGATAACAATAACGGTGTGTTTGGATTGAAGGAAATGGAGGGAAAAGAAGGGAAGGAAAATAGATAGATTGGATATCTTTCATTTGGATAACAAATGAGGGAGGAAGGGAATTGGAGGGGAGAGAAATGAAGGGATTAAATTGTAGGAAATTGATCCCTCCAACAATGGAGAGATTTGGAAGGAAAACTCACCATTTTCCCCTCCCTTCCCTTTCCCTCCCCTCTTCTCCTCCCTCCCCTTCTTTTCCTTCCCCTTTCTTTATCCAAACACACTGTAACGGTCCTTGATACTAATACTTGAATCCAATTTGTTTTTATTGCAAAATATAGGAACCTGACTTATTTTCTAAAGTCTTTAATTTTGATACGGTGTGTTTTGATATAGAAAAGGGAAAGAAAAGAAGGGGAGGGAGGTGAGCTGAGGGGGAGGGGTAAAAAAGGAATGGGAGGGAAGAAAGATGAGTTGTCCTTCCAAATCTCTCCATTGTCGGAGAGATTAATTTCTTACAATTTAATCATTCCATCTCTCTCTCCTCCAATTCCCTTCCTTTCTTATTTGTTATCCAAATGAAAGTTAATCCATCCCTTTATTTCCCTTCCCTTCTTTTCCCTCCATTTCCTTCAATCCAAACAAAGTGTTAAGTAGGGCATGGATCTTAGTCGTATTGATGAAGGTAAGGGACTGGGACTAATCTTTTATAACCTTGCACTAAACTGAAAAAAACCGTAAAATAGACCTATCTTAATTATAAGCTTAATTTCCTTAATAAAAAAATAATAATAAAAATATAAAAATAAAATAAAAATAAAATGGACATTGATGATGTAATATATCATAGGTATGTGAGACTTTGAAATGCAATACAAATATGGATAAGGATGTTATGTAAGGATCCTATTCTACTAGACCTCTTTTTATTTGAAATACAATCAAGTTAATTACTAGTCATATATTGATTTTATTGCGCGTATGTGGATAAAGTTAATAAAAGTTCTCCCCAATAAAAGCATTTTTGAATTCAAAATCAGTCAAAAGCTACATATAAAATCGTTTGTACACTCATAGTACGTATGTTTGTAATCTCTGTATACACAAAAAGTATTGTTTAAAAGTATTAACGTAGTGCTTTTCATGAGTCCAAATTAAGGAAATAGGAGATAGAACTTGGATTGAATCAATACTATTTTCATCTTAGCTATATAGAAACTCTGTTTTTAAATATCGAATACCATGCTATTCATGTGGCAATATAAAAAAAAATAAAATAAAATAAAAAAATTTGAGAAAATTTACTAATTAATTTTGGTTAACAACCTTCGTTTTAAAATTTTTGTATAACATATACTATCTATTCATTGGTAAAAAAAATTACAAATATAGGACAATAATCAATAATTATAAAAACAATAATAACATTGCTTGGAGGGAACGACAGGGCTCTTCGACCAGCAGATGTGTTGCTTTATTCCTGGGACAGAAGACTTGATATATGTGTTGACTTGACAGGGTCTTCTTTTTTAAGACAATCTAGGTTGTCTGACTTCATTCCTGGTCGTGTTGTGTCGGCTGCGGCTCTGCGGAAGCAGGACAAGTATGGGGTGCGTTGTAGGGCTATTAGCAATGGTTTTCTTCCTTTCTCCTTTTCTTCATTAGGGAAATTTAGAGAAGGATGGTGTTGCGTTGTTGAAACAGGTTCAGGCGTTCGCTAGGACTCAAGATATTGGTGCTCGTGCAACTGCTCAAATTTTCAACAGGATCGGGTTCGCTATAGCTAGAGGGGTGGGGGCCAGATTCTATCTCGGCTCCTCACTAATTTCTTGTAAATCAATTGAATTTGTAGGTTTTTGTTATTTTTATAATAATAATAATAATAATAATAATAAACATGATGATGACGATAATAATAATAATAATAATAATAATAATAATAATAATAATAATAATAATGATACTGATAATGATGAAAATAATCGTAATAATAATCATAATAATAATAATAATCATAATAATAATAATAATAATGATAATGATAATGATAATGATAATGATAATGATAATGATAATAATAATAATAATAATAATAATAATAATAATAATAATAATAATAATAATAATAAAAATTCTCTCAAAAAGCGGCGATCATCATGGGTGATTAGGGCTGCTTCCACGTCCAAGTTCCGGCGCCTTCCACGACCATATTCCGGCGCCTTCCACATTAAGGCGACTCCCACGGTGGCGGGTGCGGCTTTTGGCAGACTCAATCGGTTTCTAGCAGCGTTTTCGTGGCGTTTTTCAGGTGGTTTGCATCTTTTTCAGGAGGATTTTCCGGCTACTTTAGGCGTGTTCAAGTCAGGTATCGTGTTCCAGATGGTTATGCGTTCAGGTCAAGCATATTTCATGCGAAATTTTGGCGGTTTCTGGGAGTTTTTTGGTGCGCCTTCCTCGATATTTTGGTGCAATTTCTGGGGTTGTTCTAGTTCGGTTGTTTCTGGGCGGTTTGGTTTGTTTTCAGGCGACTTTTAGGTGCGGTTTTAGGTGAAATTAAGGCGTAATTCTGCTGTGTTTTCAGGCATGGATCTGCTCTGTTTATAGGCGTGATTTTGGGTGTGTTTTGGTGCGTTTTTGGTGTGATTTTGGTGCAAATTTCAGGCGGTTAGTGGGTCAGTTTTGCGGGCAATTTTCCTCTTGGATATTGTGCTGTTTTAGGTCAGTTGGTTCGGTTTTCAAGCAGTCTGCTTGGTTCAGTATTTTGGTGATTTTGGTGCTGCTTTAGTGTGTATTTGGTGCTGTTTTTTGGTTCAGTTTTGGAGTGTTTTTAGTGCTGTTTTTGGTGCAATTTGGGTGTATATTTGATGCTGTTTTTGGTGTGGCTTTGGTGCTGTTTTTGTTGCAGTTTTGGTGTCAATTTGGTGTTTTGATTTGGTGCGTTTTTAAGTTGTTTCAAGTGCAGTTTGTGTTGTGCTGTATTGCGATCTGCTCGTAGCAAGGTGTGGTGGGTGTTATGCCTCCTTCTGTTTGCTTTCATTGCCCGTTTGTGGGCCTTAATGGGTGTCTTGATGGTGGGGGGAATGGGCTCACTAAAACATCTTTGATCACTCATCTTCGTCACCGTCATTGTTGTGCGGATGGGCGAGATATGACCCGAAACTATCTTACTTCTAAGTTGGCTATTATCTTAGAGGCGGAGTCAACCTTTCGTCGTATGGGCATTTGGCTGTGTGGGGAGTGTTTCAAGACACATACTCTTCGTACGAAGGGTCGGCATGGTCCTGATTATGATGATTTTGTGGCCCCACCTTATTCTGGGGATGGTGTTCTTCGGTTCGTTCTTTATGGTTTTCCTAAACCAGAAGGTCCTTCTTCGGAGGTATCTAATCTTGTTCCTAGCGTGCCTCGTGAGCCTCATTTTGCATTCGATATTACTCTCCTTGATAGTTTTCTATCTAAACGGTTTCGTTCGGTGAAATCTATCCCTCCTAAGTGTCGCTTGGGTTTTTCTCAGGTTCACAAAGGAGCGCTTGATAAGGTGATTTGCAAACCTGAAGACATCTCTTTTTGAGTTCAATTGTTGCCTCTTTGTGTCGTTAAAACCTTTTCTCCGAGGATATTGGTGCTCGTGCAGCTGCTCATATTTTCAACATGATCAGGTTCGCTATAGCTACAGGGGTAGGGGCCGAAATTATATCTCGACTCCCCACTAATTTCTTGTAAATCGATTGACTTTGTAGGTTTTTGTTATAGTAATAATAATGATGATGATGATGATGATCATGATGATGATAACAATGATGATGATGATGATGATGATGATAATAATAATAATAATAATAATAATAATAATAATAATAATAATAATAGTAATAATAGTAATGATGATGATGATGATGATGATGATGATGATGATGATTATAATAATGATAATAATAATAATAATAATAATAATAATAATAATAATAATAATAAAAATAATAATAACAATATTTATTATTATTATTATTATTATTATTATTATTATTATTATTATTATTATTATTATTATTATTATTATTATTATTATTATTATTATTATTATTATCATTATCATTATGATTGTCATTGCCCGGGCGAGTTCTTCAAGGCAGGTGTAGTCCGGGCTGTTTCAGGCGCAATTCAGGTCAGTTTTGGGCGGTTTTAGGCGATTTTTCTGGCGTATTTCTGCCTATTTTTAGGCGAAATTCAGGGTATTTCAGGTGGCTTTCCCGGCCTTCTTCCGACAGCCTCTCTGGCGTTGTATTTTCGTCGACGCTAAGGTAATTCAAGGGCATTTACTGGGTGAATTTCAGGGTCGTTTTGCGATCATTCTCAGGCTGGTTTCGCGTTTTTTTTAGCAAGACAATTTCAGGTGAGTTGCGAATAGGGCTGTTTTCGGGCGAGTGCTTCCCTTTTCCCGCGGTTTAAGTTGCGAATAGGGCTGTTTTCTAGGAAAAATTCCGGTGTTCCACTGGCGGTTTTCGGGCAGTTTCTGGTGGCTGT